GGGGGGAAGAGTGCATGAGCGAGATAGAGAGAGCATGGTAGATAGAGTGAGAGCATGGGAGATGGGGTGAAAGCATTGGAGATGGGCGGATAGTTTTGAAGTTTTGGGACCGTGGATGGGAGAGAGAGGGATAGCGCATGGAGGAGAGGGAGAGAGGATGGGGGAGTGGGAGAGACGATGGGGGAGAGGGAGAGAAAATGGGGCTGAGGGAGAGAGGATGGGGCAGAGGGTGAGAGGATTGGGGAGAGAGAGAGGGAATAGGGGAGAGGGAGATACGATAGGTGGGGCCTGGAGAGGATTGGGGAGAGGGAGAGAGGATGAGGAAGTGGTGGGCAAATACCTTCAGTTATACATGTCCGTTACGTGGTTAGCAAATACCTTCGGTCAGATTCGGGGACTGTAGTGGGCATCCCATCGCCATCCCCTTCCCCCATCTCGGCGGCAAACCGAGTGCTGCCCCTTCGCACCTGCTCAGTCTCACCCCGCCACTCCCCATCGCCATCCCCTTCCCCCATCTCGGCGGCAAACCGAGTGCTGCCCCTTAGCACCTGCTCAGTCTCACCCCGCCACTCCCCTTGCTCTTGACCACTGCCATCATGTTCAGCGACGTCATAGCCCAACACGCTCCGTGGCGGTACATTGGTATTCCCCACAATGGTGACATCATCTCCCTCACCGCAGCCCGGACCTGCACCTCCCGCCGACGGCATGATGTCTTCGTTGTCCATATTTCCGCCTGCAGTGAACGGGCAACGGGCGAATCACAGCCATGTCATTATGTGGGCAACTGAGCACGGGGCTTGCACATCGCCCTCACAGTTGGCCCGAACATTGTTGCAAACCTTGTTATGCAATCTGGGGATGCCGTGTCTCACCTGGGGTTTTCTTCTGTTTGTACTCCACCCCCCTCCGATCGCCTCCCCAACCGAACTTGTTAATGCGGACCAATTCTCCGTCCTCTGTTTTGTGGTATTCTTCGAAGTCGCACTTCAATCCCACAAATTTCCGTGGCACTCGGTCCAGAATGTCGAGAACTTTAAGGCCAACCCCTTCCCGGTTGTACTGGAACTTGCTCGCATGAGCATCGTACTGGAGGCGCATCTGCTTCTCCGACTCTAACCCATCCTCCACTGCACATGGCAAGAAATATGTTTGAGTCACTGCGTCGGTCGTTATGCACTAGCTGCATAATAGTTTGCGTGCATTGTTGCGGACGTGTTTCCATTGCAGCACATGGGCCTTACCTGATGATGTTGCAGCTGCAACCAGCTTCTCAAAAACGTTTGGAGTGGCGGCCGCTAAGACGAAGACCAGATCGGCTAATGTTGCGGCCTCTGACCCTCTCATGAGTGCGGTCAAGCCACACAGCAAGAAAGCTATGGGGACCTGCATGTGCCGGCCCACCGATATCGACCGCTGATTTTGTCTTTTGACTATCTCCATCAATCGTGCATACAGGTCCTTTCTCTTTCGACGGCACCCATTGGCCACCTTATGGCCTCTTGCTGCCTTTACTCCCCTCGCCACCTTTACCCCCGTCGCCATGCCTTCCTCAAAGTATAGGGGGACGCAGCATTCAAGAGAGGGGGACTGCATGGGATAGGGGGTGGCAGCATTTGTTATGGGGAGACAGACTTGGAGAGGGAGACAGCATAGGAGAGAGGGCAGACAGCATAGGCGAGGGGGGAAGGCATTGGAGAGGGTGGGCAGAATAGGCGAGGGGGGAAGGCATTGGAGAGGGTGGGCAGAATAGGGAGAGGGGGACATGGGAAACAGGGAAGGGGACATGGGAGCCCCTTCCCCCTTCCCTCTGCCCGTTCCCCCTCTCCCATATCCCCTTCCCCCTCTCCTATGTCCCCCTTTCCCCTTTCCCATTCCCCTTCCCCCTTTCCCATGTCCCCCTTCCCCCTCTCCCATGTCCCCTTCCCCCTTTCCCATGTCCCCTCCCCCTTTCCCATGTCCCCCTTCCCCCTCTCCCATGTCCCCCTTCCCCCTTTCCCATGTCCCCCTTCCCCCTCTCCCATATCCCCCTCTCCCATGTCCCCCTTCCCCCTTTCCCATGTCCCCCTTCCCCCTCTCCCATGTCCCCCTTCCCCCTTTCCCATGTAACGCTGCGGGAGACAGCCTATGATAGGAGGAGACGGCCTAGGATAGGGGGAGACAGCCTAGGATAGGGGGAGACAGCATGGGAGACCGGTTAGATCGTGTTTGTAGGCAGAATAGCGCTGGGCGCAATCTCACCAGTGCGTAGAGTCAGTGCACGCGATGTAGCGTGGGCATGTTGAGTGTGTGTGCTTGTGTCAACCTACCCTCTCCCACAACCTTCTCTACGGATGGAACTCCTGCGTGGGGAGGGAGATGGGGAGGGGGATCAAGATCCAGAACCCGGATGGGGGTTGCCGCGGCAGGTGCCTATGGGGAGGTTGTGAGGAGGACCCGCTTTTGAGGTGGAGGGGAGGGTAGTGCAAGTTTGGCGTGGAACTTCCATGTGAGTGCGGAAAGAGTGAGGAAAGAGTGAAGAAAGAGTGAGGAAAGCCATGTGCAACAGGTAGACAAACGCCAGGTAGGAGAAAACTAGGATGAGGAGGGTAGGGCAAATGTGACCAGTACCGTGGGAGAGAGAAGGAATCTGAGGCATGCGGACTTACAGATGGGGTAGCAGGAGGAAGGGGCGAAGGTCATCTTGATGTGCTTGATGTCCGTGAGGGAGGACAAGTCTGCATGCAGAGGCCATAAAGAGGGGTGGTGGTATTGGCCTAAGAAGGGAGGAGGGGCTGAAGGTCATCTTGATGTGCTTCATGTCGGTGAGAGACGAGAAGTCTGCTTGCGAAGGCCATAACATAAACGGCAGCATGATCTTCATGTGTGGTCATGTGTGCCATAAGGAGTGCAATGTGCATCAGTTTGCTTTTGAGTAGACTACAAAGCAGTTGGGTGCAATGGACGTGATGCGTGTGCGCCGAAGCATCCATATTTGTGTGTACTTCTCCTCCCTGCCTTCGCAAACTACCGCACTCTCGATATCCCTCGCGCAGTACCCTCTTTTTTTTTTCAATATTTCCGGGTATGCGGGCGCATACCCTTTCGCCTATGCTGCCCTACACGCTTATGCTCCGGACCAACCATCTGGATGGCCGATGCGCTCCGGTCGGCTGTTATCGGTGGGAGCATTAGCGGTACTCGGTTTGTCCGCGTCTGAACGTCGTGGTTTCGTCAGGGCTGGTATAGGCGACTTTTGACTTGACGTCAAGTGGCTCCTCTCGTGGTGGACAGCCAGGCTTAGATGTACTTACGATGCTAGAGCATTTGCGGACGCCGCTGTGTGTCGTTGTTAGTGTAGGTGGCACGATGCTGTCGTTGTTGACGAGTGTCTTAGTGTTCCAACAACCCTACTTACAAAACATGAGTTAGGCTGCGAGTGCGGAGCTTTCGAGTTTTTGTTGGGGACCCAAGTTTCTCTCAGTTTGTGCCTGCTGTTTTACACAGGGTTGGGTGTGCTGTCGCAGCCAGATTGTTTGCGACTCTTGGTTGGGCTCTGCCCAATTTGGTACGTCTGTCAATCGCAACCCCACCTTGGCGAGGGAAACCTGGTAACATGTGACCAATTGTAAAACACTTGGTTGGGTTTCTCGAAACTTGGGTCCCTGGCTTTAAAATCAATCTGAAGCCCTGGTGTACAGCTGTAATGGACCGCAGGTGTGTGGATTTTGGTAGGTGAAGTGAAGGTCGAATTGGGGGAAAAGGTGACTGTTGCACGCATGCGACCGAGGCACGGAACTACCTTCCTCGGTCCCAACCGGTCACGTGTTGTGTGAGGCTCAGGCCTAGGGAATTCCGCAATCAGACCGAATCGCCCCCAGAATTACCCGTTAGCGGGCAGATCCGTCGAAGAGTTTCTCGTCAAGGAATCACACAGCTGTGTGTGGGTTGAGGTGGGCAACACCCGTACACCGTTCCAAGCTACCAAACCCAACCATGACAACAGGTTGAAACCTCTACAGTGCAAGGGTCACAAATCCTTTCCAGCCTTTCACAGCCGAAGTTTCTGGATACACCTAGCACGCGGTAATTTCTCATCCTGAAACTGGGCGGCAAAAAACATTTGTTTCCACCCTAACCATTTCGGAGTGCGTAGACAGTACCCCCTTGTCCCTACAGCCTAAGCTTGGCAGACTCCACGCGGGCAAAACCTTTGAGCACTGCCTAAGCTGACGTCGGGTTTCCTGACTCGAGAAACACTCAATCGAGCAGTAAACGTTTCGTATAGAAACCCAAGTTCAAATCGTTTTTCAATGGTATCCCGATCTTGTCTTCATGAACTGCTTTCGGGGGGTGAATCGCCTCTCGGGGGCACCCCCTATGAAAATATGGGTTGTTAGAATATCGCAGACTTTATGTGTATTCCTCTCGAAAGGGGGATATACACGGTGTCCATGGAGTCCTGGAACTTGACCGGGTCTACCCTCGAACCTGTGCCCAACCGCGAACAATTACTGGAAACGGCCCTTTCGCCTGATGGCCTATTCGCGGGGGTTTTGTGGCACCTGCGACACGTCGGCGGCGAAAGTGTCCATGTAAAGGAGCTCGAGAAAGCACAAGTGCCCACTTCCGTGGCGAACGCTGGCGAAAAAATTGCCCGCATTACGCTCACGCGGTTCGTCAAAATTGGGGCTATTGGGTGCGCACCCAGTGTATTTCTGCATTTTGAAATCTTATGAAGGTTCGCCGTGGAAATCTTGGCGTTTTTCTTGAATTGCTAGTGCCGCTTCTGCACCTAAGGGCACCACACACAAAAACCACAGTTCTGTGTGCAAATCAAGAACGCTGCTGGGCCAGCTGTGATGGGCACTGGCATTGGTGCACGTTGTGGCTGCAATGCTGCTGTGGTAACTTCTAAATGCCTTCCTCTGGGCCACGTGGACCGCGGCCCTGCATCCTCTTCCACTGTTGTCCCCATGGTATCCTTGTTTCGGTCGCTCGAACGTCAGAACAAGATAATAACGCACGCTCATTAGTAGGAAGCGAAGTCTGACAACACGAGAGGCATCCATCTGTGAAACCATCCTAGTTCCAGGCCGCTCGTACTCATCTGAAAAACGTGTTGGTAAAATAGTCTTGGTAGAATCTTCATCGACTTTCAGCCCCCTGCCACTTTTACGGTTTGCTGGCGACGAATGAGCGACAACTTTACCAGATCAACCCTACTGCGGCTGCTCTCTCTCCATCAGCGAATGCGAACCCCGTCGCCTCCCGCTCATGACTTGCCGATTCGACAGGCAGAAGGTGCCGTCCTGAGAGAGTGACGTCCGCCCCGGAAGATCAGATCCTCCGTGCCACGGACGGGTCGTCTTAGCTGCGTGCGCAACGCGCGCCAGAAACGCCCTGAGAAACACGTCGAGACAGTCTCTCGAGCACGTCTGCAAACGGCGAGCGGCCGCCGGCGCATATCTGGGAGACCTACTCAGTGTGTACCAGCAGTTGCGCAAGAGGAAGAGTGCACAGAAGGACAAAAGAAACGCGCAACATTATTGGCCGGCGGCGTGTGCCTGTGCCTTCCGGTCGGAGACGTCAAAGCGGCGCGGGCGGTGATACTGACAGAATGGCGAACTCCGCCACGCGGCGGCGGCGGCAGCCCTTCCACTTGCTTCTAGCGCTCGCCGCTCTCCTCGCCGCCGCAGCGAGCTCTCACGTCGTCGCACCGGCTGCGGCTCAGGAGGATGGTACGCCGTGTACGAGTAGCTGCGTTAACGCAGCGCGTTTCCACCCCATCGTTATTAATGCCTCGTAGTACCTGTCGCCTTGAACGCGTAAGACGGCCCTCCTTCGACGCCTCCCGTGATTCGCGGCCTTCCTCTCCTGACGGGGATCTGCTATGATCCAGTTCACTCATCTCCCTTCTTTCTCTTTGCTTTGTCGCAGGCACATTGAGCGACAAAGACGGCGTCGCATCAGCAGCTGGCGACGAGATCGACACGGCCCAATCCGAGTCGTCGCAGCCCGTCGCCAGCGTGTCGTCGGCGCTCTACATCGTCCGCATGCGAAGCGTGCCTCCCGTCGCCACGTATACCGGCGGCATTTCCGGATTCGACGCCACCGCGCCCGCCGCCGCCGCCGCCAATGTCGGCGCGGGAATCGCAAACATCGCGCAGCGTGCTGGGCGCGCCGGGAGCCGCCTGACGCAGCGCCTTCCGCGCATCGACCTCCGCCGCGGGCCCGCGCGCGCGTTTGCGCAGATGCTCGGGCGGATGCAGAAGCAAGTCGCGCGCGACGTGGGGCTCGCGACGAGCCGCGTGCTGTACAGTTACAAATACGCGAGTAACGCTTTCGCCGCGGAACTCACGCCTTCGCAGCTGCGACGGTTACAGCGGCACCCGAACGTCGCCGACGTGGTCGCGAACGTGGCGATGCACAAGCTGACGACGGACTCGTCCGAGTTTTTGAAGCTGCCCGAAACGGCGTGGGCGAGCGCAGGCGGGCAGGGGAACGCGGGAGAAGGGGTGGTGATCGGAGTTGTGGATACGGGCATATGGCCGGAGCACCCTTCGTTCAGCGACGCCAACGTGAGTGGGAGATGCAGGAGCGTGTGAGCGTCGGCACCTGAGGTTAGTCTCGCGTGGTTTTCCTGGGGTTCGTGTCGCCTCGTGACCGCGCCATCCGCCGATCTTCGCGCGTCCCCAAATCTCGTCGACGCCTTTCCGCATCTCGTCTACTTCCCATCGTCTTTCTCCTTCCCGGATTCCCCCCGTTCCCCCCCTTCCCTCCGCCACTCCGCAGACAACCGCGCCCTACGGCGCGCGGCCGTCGACGTGGCGCGGCGTGTGCCAGACGACGGCGGACTTCCCGCGCTGCAACGGCAAGCTCATCGGCGCGCGCTACCTGTACGCGGGCTTCCGCGCCATGACGGGCGCCGCGGAGAGCCTCACCAACGACTGGCGGTCCGCGCGCGACGCGGATGGGCATGGCACGTGGTGTGCGGGGTAAGCGGCGGGGCTGGCGGATGGCTGATGATGTCGGCGGAAGAAGCGGAGCGGAAGGGGGGGGAGGGGGACGATGGAGATTGGGGGCGTGGCGGGAAGGGCAGGGTGAGAGAAGCGGGGAAGGGGGAGAGTATAATGGGAGCGAAAGAGAACCCACACCAATCGAATTTCCATGGCGCTTCATCACCACAGGCCTCGACCCCCTCGTTCCCCCACCTCTCCCCCTTCATCCCCTCTCTTCCCCATCACCCCCCACACCCCCACCACAGAGCCGCGGCGGGCAACGCGGGCGTGGCTGTTACCACCTCGCGCGGGCAGGTGATTGGCGCAGCGAGCGGCATGGCCCCGCGCGCGCGGCTGGCGGTGTACAAGGTGTTCTGGAGCAATGCGCAGTCAGGGGGCACGACCGCCTCGTTTGCGGACATAGAGGCCGCTGTCAACCTGGCCGTGGCTGATGGCGTGGATGTGCTCAGCCTGTCGCTGGGCGGGCTGGACCCCGCAGCCACCTACTTCAACGATGTCTCGTACCTCAATGCCAACCTGGTGGGTGCAGGCAGGAAGGACGGGAAGGGTGGGGGAGGGGGAGGGGGAGGGGGAAGGAGGGGGGCGAGGGGGGTAGTCACTGCAATTGATGATGCACATGAAGCTCGCTGTTCCACCATCCATAGCCGCCATCCTCCATGCTTGGAACGCCACATCGGTATCCTTAATACATCCATGCATCCACAGCTCTGGTTGTGTCACCCGCCCACACTGCCCCCACTTCTTGTGCCCCTGATTGTCTCTCACTCAGCTCTGGCCCTCCCTCTCTCTATCTCGCTCTCTCTCGTTCTCTCTTGCTCTCTGCCTGTTGCTGTGCGTGTATGCAGGCGGGCGTGACAGTGGTGTACGCAGCTGGCAATAGCGGGCCCCCCCAAGATGGCTCCTACATGTACCGCACACTCTCAAACTTCTCGCCCTTCTACCTCACTGTTGGAGCCAGGTGAGCATGGCATGCCCGCCTTCCTTCCTTCCCGTCTCTCTTAATTACTCCGTCTCTCAATCAGTCATGCTCTCTCCCTCTCACTAACTTCACCCCCAACCTTTCTCCCCTCCTTTTTCTCGCGCCTCCACTCCCCTCTCCCCCTCTCCCCTCTCTCCCCCCACAGCACCATCAACCGCCGGTGCACCGCCAACCTCACGCTGGGCGACGGCACAGTCCTCTCCGCCACGGGCTACGGCGCTGGCACCACACCCCTCACCGCCATGCCCCTCATTGAGGGCTCCGCTGCGCGCCGCTCCTCCATCACCTTCACCCGCGGGGACCAGTGCCTCCCCGGCGCGCTTGACGCCTCTCTCGTCGCCGGCCGCATCGTGCTCTGCTCATACGGGGGTGTGTCCACGGGGGAGAAGCTCAGCGACCTGTACAGCAAAGGGGCCAAGGGCGCGCTGCTGGTGAACATCCCCTCGGCCCTGGAGCCTTTCACCCCTTATAACGAGCTGCTGCCTGTCTCGCATCTATCTGCGGGAGACGCTGACCGCCTACGCTCCTACGTTCGATCCACGGCCTCCCCTGTCGCCACCCTCACACCGTCCTTTGCCCGCCTCTCCAACCTGTCCTCCCCCACCCTCGCGTACTTCTCCTCCACTGGCCCCGTCACAAACCCCTACACCAGTGCCGCCCTTCCCAAGCCCACGAACGATATTCTCAAGCCGGATATCATCGGCCCGGGGGTGTCGCTGTGGGCGGCGTGGCGCAGTGCATCGCTCTCTTCTGCCAGCAAGCCGGCATTTGAAGCTATCTCGGGGACGTCCATGGCGACCCCGCACCTCGCCGGGATTGCAGCGCTGGTGATGCAGAAGTACCCCTTCTGGACGCCCTCACAGGTCATGTCCGCCATTGTTACCACTGCCACGATTGTCACTGGCACTGGCGCTGCTATTGGCACCACGAGCGGGGCTAAGGCCACGCCATGGGACATGGGAGCAGGCCATGTGAACCCGTCGCGGTTGCTTGATCCGGGGTTGACGTACAATGCCGGAGCGACGGATTACTACAACTTCCTCGCAGGAGTTGGGCTTACGAAAGCCAAGGCCTTGCTCCCGAGAGGTGTGAAGTTGTCGAGTAGCAAGCCGTACGACCTCAACCGGCCCACAATCTCTGTGGGGAGGCTTGTGAAGTCAGTTACGGTTACAAGAAAAGTAACCAACGTTGGGGCTGCGTCGTCAACATATACTGCATCTGTAGTGGCGCCGGCGGGTGTGGCGGTGGTAGTGAGCCCTACCAAGCTGGTACTGAACAAGGGTGCTAGTGCTGTCTTTACTGTGAAGCTCACTGTGACTGCAACATCATGGGAGTTTAAATATGGTAGCCTGACATGGACAGATGCAGCGGGACATACTGTGGTGTCCGTGATAGCTGTGCAGCCCATCAGCAAGTGATTTTTTCTCCGATTTAGTGTACCATGAGATTGTGACACGAAGTTGTGCCTTCCCTCTCATCGGTTTGCCACCCTTATTGTTCTTTTCCTTAGCAAGCCTCGTTAACATCGAGCACAGCCCTTACATTCTAAGTAGCGGAAGGACTACCAGAAATGACGGATACAGATGAATATATGGTTGGGTGTTGTGCTCTCTAAGAGCACGAACGGGCAAACATATATTGTATGTTTTTGTAGACTATATAGGGTTGTGCCTTAGGGAGTACAACCCAGTAGGTTATATTCCCTTGTATGCCTTGTTCTAGTCATTCCTTCACTTGAACATGGTATCAGAGCATGTAGGTCCCCCCCCCCCCCCCCCCCCCCCCCCCTAGCGCTTCTGCCCTAGGTCCTAGCCGCCTCGTCGCCCCGCGGCCCGTCACCTCGAGGCCCCGCAGCCCGGTCCCCTAGCGGCCCCGCGGCCCCGTCACCTAGCGGCTCCGCGGCCCCGTCCCCTAGTGGCCCCGCGGCCCCGTCCCTAGCGGCCCCGCGGCCCCCTTACCTCGCGGCTCCGCGACCCAGTCCCCTAGCGGCCCCGCGGCCCCGTCCCCTAGCGGCCCCGCGGCCCCGTCCCCTAGCTGCCCCGCGGCCCCGTCCCCTAGCTGCCCCGCGGCCCCGTCCCCTGACCGAGCGCCCCCGCTTTAGGTCCGTCCGGACTGCGCAGGAGTTCCTAGAGGTTGTTGTTGCACACTATTCCACCCCGCCCTCTGCCTTTGTAGGTCGCCTGATCCTGCCCATGCTCTTTCCTGACCTTGCGTCTTTCCCCACTATCGCTGACCTAGCCGCCCACCAGCATACGCTAGATACGACCTGGCGCGCTGCCTGCACCGAGGCTCAGCTTCGTGTGTTTCAGCCCCCCATTTGCGCTACCCTCTACCTGCTTGCCACCCGCCTCCCTGGCCGTCTTGCCACCGCCCGCGATCACTTCCTTAGTCTCCACCCAGCTGACCTCACCCTCACTGACTTTGTCGACACCCTGTCTGCCATAGAGACCCGTCAGCGCTCTATCGCGCAGTCTAGTGGTACCGTGCCAGTCTCTATCTTTCAGGGATGTGCCCCTGCTCAGCGCTCTTAGTACGACTGTTCTGCTGCGGTTGCTGAGACAGCTCCGGCTGTGGAGACAGCCGCCGCAGTGCAGTTTCGTCCGGGAAAGGGTCGCTGCCCCAAGGCAGGGCGCGGTGGAGGTAGCGGAGGAGGGAGTGGTGCCAGTGGTGGAGGTGGCTCGCCCGCTGGTAGTACTGACGAGGGGGTTGAGGCTGGTGCCCGGGAGGAGCCGCCCAAGCAGCAGCAGCAGGCTCCGCAACTTGACCAGCAGCAGCAGGCGCAGCAGCAGCAGGCGCAGTAGCAGCAGCAGGAGTAGCAGCAGCAGAGGGTCGGCCGACTCTTGCCCAGTCTGGAGCTGGAGGTGACGGTGGTCGCAGTGGTCGCTCGCGCGGCGTGTTGTCAGGTGGTAGTCCGAGTGACGGGCTCTGCTTGTACCAGCTCCAGACTGGTCCTCGCCGCGACCTCGTGTGCGGTAAGATCGGTCATACCCCCGCTCGTTGCTTTTGTCGCCTCGACGACCTGTTTCGTCTCCGCTTCGGCCCGTCGCCTGACCTTCCCGACTGGCACAGTCTGCTCCGTCGTCTTGTTCAGATCTTTGATATGGACATGGATGAGATTAGCTCTGCTTTGTATGCGCTTTATGTTGCCTAGCGTCCTCCGACCTCTGTCGCCGCTGCCGCGCTCCCCTTCACCCTTGACTCCGGCGCTTCCCGGTGTTTCTTTACCGACTCCACGACGCTTACGCCGCTTGACGCTCCTGCAGCAGTTGCTCTTGCAGACCCTTCCTCCGGTCCTGTAGTTGCACGTAGCTCCACTACTCTCCCCTGTCTAGCGGTTCCCTCAGGCTCCCTTACAGGCCTACACATCCCCTCGTTCTCTAGGAACCTAGTTGGTGTCGGCTGCCTCCAGGACCTTGGCGTCACCACTACATTCCCTGGGCACAAGCGGTACACTGTCTGTACTAAGGCCGCCACTAGTTCCCCCCTCACCACGTTCCTCCGGGACCCGATGTCTGGCCTGTTCACGCTGGACACCGCTTCCCCCCCGGTTGGGATGCCTCCCCAGATACCAGCGTCTTCCCAGGTTGCTGCGGCGTGCTCGTGTCGGTTGCTTACTCACCCATCTCCGTTACATGTCCCAGCACCGTCTTGTCCTAGGCCTCCCTGAGTCGTTCCCTACGCTCCCCTCCTCACCCGTGCCTCCATGCACGCCCTGTGTCGAGGGCCGGCTCCGCCATGCCCCTCACTCCTCCTCGTTCCCCCCTACCTCCGCACCGCTGCAGAACCTGCACATGGACGTGTGCGGCCCCGCCCCCGTCCATGGGCCGCGTCGCGAGTGCAACTTCCTAGTGCTTGTCGACGACTACACCCGCTACACCACCGTCTTTCCCCTGGAGCAGAAGGCCGACGTGCCTGGCGTTCTTCTCCCGTGGCTTGTCTCTCCGCGTGTTCACCGAGGTCTCCTTGTCTTGCGTCTTCACTCCGACCATGGTGGCGAGTTTGCCTTTGGCTGCCTTGGTCGCTTCTGTCGTGCGGAGGGCGTCACCCAAACGTTCACCCTGCCGGACTCCCCGCTGTAGAATGGGGTCGCTGAGCTACGTATCGGCTTGGTCATGGAGGTTGCTCGTACCTCCATGATCCATGCCGGTGCACCCCATTTTCTGTGACCGTTCGCCATTCGCTACGCTGCTCACAAGCTTAACCTCTGGCCGAACCCTCAGCGGTCGCAGGTTTCACCGACCCTCCTCTGGAACGGGTCCCCTGGTGACGCGTCTGCGTTCCACATCTGGGGCTGCCTTGCACACGTTCGTGCCTCTGGCACGGACAAGCTCATTGCCCGCACTTTCCCCTGTGTCCTCCTAGGTTTCCCCCTCGACTCGTCGGACTGGCAGTTCTACCACCCGCCTTCTCACCGGTTCTTTCACTCTCGTGACGTCACCTTTGTCGAGTCCGTCTCCTTCTACCACCGCTTTCCCCACTGTGGTCCCCCGGTCACTCCCCCCAGTTCCTGGTGCCCCCCCCTCCCCCGGTCGATCCTGTCCACCCCCCTCCCTGCCCTGCCCCATCTGGTGTGTCTCACGTCACCCCCTCCCGTCGGTTGTCCCTGCCGAGGAGTCCGCTGACTCTCGCGGCTCAGCCGAGTCTCTTCCCTCGCCTGTCCCTGCCCGGGTCTCGCCTCCCCTGTCGCCGCCGCTGCTGTCCCCGCCGCAGCCGGAGCCGCTGTCGTCACCGCTGCTGGGGTTCGTGCGTTCTGGGGGTGCTAGGGAGCGGGCTGGAGCTGGTTCTAGAGCGGGCTCTAGGGGTGCTGGCGTGGGGCTTCTCGGAGGGAGCCGTGTTGTTGCTGGAGGTTCGGGTGTTGGAGTCGGGCAGCAGTCGCAGCTGTCGCCGCCGGTGTCCGCTCTTCGCCTCCTCGGTCTCCCTTCCCCTGACCGCCCGTCACTGCCTCCCCCACTGCCGCCGCCTCCTCCTCTGCCGGTCCACGGCCCCGTGTTTCCTCCCCCGGACTCCTCTCCGCCTCGTTTCCCTCCCCGTTCTCCTCCTATGTCTCCTCCCCTCTCTCCCGACCCGACTCCTCCATCTCACGTCTGGTCTCGTCGTCCGTCTCGTGCTCGTCCTACCTCCCCTGTTCCGCATTCTCACCCTATGTTGATGCGCTCTCATGCGTCTCGTGCTCCTCCTCTCCTCCTGTCTCCTCCTCCGTCGTCGCTTGCTGTGGCCCCGCCTCCGTTGTCGGACTTCTTCCGTGCTGCGCGTCCCCTTGTTCCTCGTGTCCTCTCCTCTCTCGTTACCGACACGTCCATTCCTGTCTCGAGTCTGTCGGCTCTTGTCGCTGCTGTCACTGACTTCGCCGCTACCCGCCGCTTGGACTACGCCACCGCTCTGGTCTCTGACCCTGCCTACCCTCCGATCGTCGGGGGTGTGGCTGCTCTTAGCAGTGACGTCCTAGAGGACAGGCACTTCAAGCTCGCTTTCCTGTCTGAGGCCGCTCCCCATCTCTGTTCCATGCTACTAGTCCTTGAGGGTGACCCAGACGCCCTCGACATCCCGACCCCTCGCACCTACGCTGAGGCCATCTCGGGATCCTAGGCCTCTCAGTGGATAGCTACCATGGAGCAGGAGATGGCATCTTGGAGATCCACGGTACCTTGGGGTGAACGTAGTCGATGGCCGGTGGCTCTTCAAGGTGAAGCGCCCTCCTGGAGAGCCGCCTGTCATCAAGGCACGCTACGTCGCTCCAGGCTTCAGTCAGCGTGAGGGGGTGGACTTCTTTCAGACCTTCGCCCCGACCCCGAAGATGACCACTCTTCGGGCGCTGCTACATGTAGCAGCACAGCGTGACTACGAGCTGCACTCCCTCGACTTCTCCACATCTTTCCTCCAGGGCTGTTAACACGAGCAACTCTACCTGCGCCGCCCCCAGGGCTTCTCCGGTACCTTCCCCCATGGCACCGAGTGGCTCCTCCGGCGTCCCGTGTACGGTTTGCGACAGGCGCCCGGTGAATGGCACGACACGCTGCGTGCTACACTTGCTGACTTGCAGTTCTTCCCTTCGTCTGCAGACCCCTCGCTCTTCGTCCGTTCTGGCCAGACTCCGTTCTACATCCTTGTCTACGTAGACGATCTGGTCTTTGCTACAGCAGACACGCACTAGCCGCCATGAAGGCCGAGCTGCTGTGAAGACACACGTGCACTGACCTAGGAGAGCTGCACCGCTACCTTGGCTTGCAGATCTCCAAGGACACAGGAGCGCGCACCATGACTCTCTCACAGTCACACTTGGTGTGCTAGGTCCTTCAGAGGTTTGGCCTTCAGTTCTCTTCCGCACAGCCCACCCCTCTGCTCGTAGACCACAGACTCTCTGCCCCAGTCCGTGAGTAGGCTGTAGAGCCTAGTGGTCCCTACGCAGAGCTGGTGGGTTGCCTATTGTACCTGATGACTTGCACTCGTCCAGATCTCGCATAGCCTCTCAGCATCCTGGCTCGCTTTGTGGCCCTAGGCAGACACCGACCATAGCACTGGTCGGCAGCTAAGTGGGTTTTGCATTATCTTGCGAGTACATTAGGCATGGGGCTAGTGCCAGGAGGAGGGAGACCAGTGGTCCTTACC